TCCGTCATCATCTCGCCATTTGCCCCATCCCCACACCCTCCCCCACCCCCCTCCCCCACCACCACCCCCTTCACCACCCCCTCCCACACCCGGGACTGTAAAGACTTGCGACCGCCATTTTGTGCTCATTACTTCCGGAATGGGCGTTATCGACTCATGTGATGACGGACGGAATAGCTGAGATTCTGCCGGCTGCCGGTTCATGTCCAGGTTAATAGGTGTCAGTTGGTCCGGCATGTTGAACCTGCTACTGTAGCGGTCCGGCATGTTGAACCTGCTACTGTAGCGGTCCGGCATGTTGAACCTGCTACTGTAGCGGTCCGGCATTTTTAGCCTGTGCTTTTGTCTGTGTCTTCTCTATGTCTTGTTTATGTCTATGTCTATGTCTATGTCTATGTCTATGTCCGTGTCTTGTCCATGTCTATGTCTTGTCTATGTCTTGTCTATGTCTTGTCTAGTGTGTAAACACACAGACCTCGGCGTGGGTGGCAGAAGCGAGGTAAAACGTGGGAAGACAAGCAAGGAAACTTTAGTCGAGTCGTTAGCGCGTTAGCCTGCCGTCACAAGATCCAAGGTTCGGCTGCCCAGGGGAAAGTGATACGCTTTGTGCACCCCAGCGTATGTCACGTGATCAGTGCACTACACCTCATGTACGGGAGGGGAGGGGTGGAGAGTGGGGTGAGGGGTGGGGTGTTTACAAAGGAATGCGAAGGGCAACAGAACAAGTCGCTGGTGGGATTTGTCCCTGAACATGTCGCAGATGATAGGTCACGTGATAGGTTGTGGAGGTCAAGGTCAGGTGATGGGGAGGGGTCTTGTCACGTGGGTTATCTGGCTAGTCTTTAACAGCCTACGTCTGACGTGTTATGTTTGTCAATTATTTTAAGATTGCCCTCCCCCACACCCCCTCTACCTCCTCCCTCCCCACATCACACATCTCCCCACCCCCACATACCCCCTCTACCTCCCCCCCCCCCCACACACACACCACACATCTCCCCACCTCCTTTCTCTAGCACCGCTTGTCAGACAAACATTGGTGACCTTGGTGGTACACTGATAGAGTTCAAGGTCAGTCTTCCACGTTTTGTTTCTAGCTGATGTGGAGCTGGCTAATAGACTTGAAAAGTTGTTCCAAACTGGTTTAAATTTTTTGTTGCCAGAAAGCAAATTTTTCAACCGAAATTGAATCTTTTATAACATGTGTGTAGTAAGTACATAGTTACTTCCGGTTTCATTAAGGCTAGAAATAGCCAAAGAAAGAATTACTAGTAATATAATAGTAATTTAGCAAACACTTTTATTTTTTATTTGGATTGGTAGAATCAGTGTGTTGCGGTGATTGTGTATGTTATATTATTTAATATAAATACAATACTACGCTATACAATACACCATAGATCACTATTGTGTATTTCATCCTGGCAAACAATTGTTCTGACTTTTGTTGTTTTACTCTCCCTGGCCAGTCAGGTTGACTTCAATGAGAGATTGTGGGCAGTTTTTGAAAATATTTGAATTGATGAAATAATTCTAAACGGCTTTTCAACGGCTTATAATCGATACAAAAATATAAAAGATGAGTGTAATCGATGGTTGGCCAAACGGATTTAAATTTTACAAATTTAATAATAATTAAATTTTATCGCTTGCCATATTTTTAAAAATTTATTATAATTACATAGACTTTTTCTTGTCTATAAATTGACGGTTGTTGGCTAATTGATTGACGGTTGTTGGCCAGTTTCCTGGAGAATTCTATTGTCAAAGTTCGCTAGATGTGCTAGCTGCCAAGGTCACCTAGCTGTCTGGGGTTGGGTTCAAGTCACGTGACTAGAAATGCCTCGTCCCTTTGCCAATGTCTGGCATCTATTGTGTGTGTGTGGGGGGGGGGGGGGGAGTTTGAAGGTTAGTCCGGGGGCTGGTCAGTTTCTTGGACACTCGGAACGTGTCAATCAAAACAAACACAGCAAGCCAATGGGAACATATCGCAAATGTCATATAGTGCTCAAATGTCAAGCGGTGCTCAAATGTCATGTGCTGTTGAAATGTGTTTTCCACTATCATGTTCCACGTTGAAGACGAAGCTTTTAAAACCTGAGCAGAACAAAAATGTCTCAAATATCGTCAGTTGATCCTGCAGGATGGTTGGGTAACGACATCCCCATCCCCACCCCCCACCCCTACCCCATCACCCCGATCACACCACCATATGGCACCCCACCACCCTCCACCACCACACCTCTGAGATGCGCCATCTTTCAATCTATCAATCCCACCCCACGTGACCTGACGTAATCAATCAGAAAAATGGATGGAAATGCCAGAGAGTAACAAATCTTGTTCCATTAGGGGGTCCAGGAGGGGTGGGGGTGGGGAGACGGGAGCAGGTGGGACGGGGGGGGATGGGACTAGGTGGGACTGGGGGGGGGTACCTGGGTATCTGGCTGCAGGGTGAGCAAGGTCTGGCCTTGATTAGTGCCGGCGGGATCCGATCCCAGCCCCTCTTGTTAGCTGCAGGTGTTAGGGCAGGAGGTGGCTGGTCGCTCTATGCATTGCTCCACACAGGTCATAGGTCATAGGTCATAGGTCATTGGTCGTAGGTCATAGGTCATAGGTCATAGGTCCACTGATGGGTGAAACTGGCCTTAGTTTCCGCGGTTCGAATCCCGCCCAGCACACAGTGTGAGATGACAGTTGGAACGGGCTAACTGCTTTCATGTTGGGTTTATGCTAACATTTGAGGCTAACCGCCCACATCACGCAACTATTCATCTATTCACAGCATAGTCCCATGACGTGTAGGTTTGGCTTCTATTCAGCGTTAAAGATGTAATACTGGTAGACCTCTACCCCCCCCCCTTCCAGGTCTAATCATAAGATGTTGATGTTTCACCTTTAATAGGTTCAGTGTTGATGTTAAACCTCGGATGGGTACGGTGTTGATGGTTCATCTCCTTCTTACAGAATGTACAAAAAAAAAGTTGTTAGCTTTACAATAAAAAATGTATTTTCATTTATAGCGTTTTTATTTGACGGCCGAGCAGCGAGAAGCGAGTTATTTCCCTGTCAGAGCTCAACATTATGGTGTTCGGGAGTTGTGAGAGAATCTGGCGGGCTTGCCAAAATCTGGGAGAGATTGGAGCTTGTGGAGGTTGTGTAGGTTTGGTGGTGGAGGTTGTGTAGGTTTGGTGGTGGAGGTTGTGTAGGTTTAGTTGTGGTGGTGGTGTAGGTTTGGTGGTGGAAGTTGTGTAGGTTTAGTTGTGGTGGTGGTGTAGGTTTAGTGGTGGTGGTTGTGTAGGTTTAGTTGTGGTGGTGGTGTAGGTTTGGTGGTGGAGGTTGTGTAGGTTTAGTTGTGGTGGTGGTAGAGGTTTGATGGAGGTGGTTTTTTGTAGACAGCACAGTTTACTTTTGATCAACATCACACTGGGTCAAGTTGTAAACGAGAATTTGTGCAAAGTTTTTTTAAAAGACGTTTTGTTATAGAAACTCACGTTCATTCTACTGGTGTGGGTTGGGTCTTCTGTGTGGGACCTATGTCTTGTAGAAGCTTCTAGTTTCTTAGTAGCTGATTCTGTTCGCTGCTAGCTGTCTGCATTAGACAACCTGAGACAGCAACCTACCCTGACTGTCTGACAAACCTACCAAGCCAACCTGAGACAGCAACCTACCCTGACTGTTTGACAAACCTACCAAGCCAACCTGAGACAGCAACCTACCCTGGTTGTCTGACAAACCTACCAAGCCAACCTGAGACAGCAACCTACCCTGACTGTCTGACAAACCTACCAAGCCAACCTGAGACAGCAACCTACCCTGGTTGTCTGACAAACCTACCAAGCCAACCTGAGACAGCAACCTACCCTGACTGTCTGACAAACCTACCAAGCCAACCTGAGACAGCAACCTACCCTGGTTGTCTGACAAACCTACCAAGCCAACCTGAGATAGCAACCTACCCTGACTGTTTGACAAACCTACCAAGCCAACCTGAGACAGCAACCTACCCTGACTGTTTGACAAACCTACCAAGCCAACCTGAGACAGCAACCTACCCTGACTGTCTGACAAACCTACCAAGCCAACCTGAGACAGCAACCTACCCTGACTGTCTGACAAACCTACCAAGCTAACCTGAGACAGCAACCTACCCTGACTGTTTGACTAACCTACCAAGCCAACCTGAGACAGTAACCTACCCTGACTGTTTGACAAACCTACCAAGCCAACCTGAGACAGCAACCTACCCTGACTGTTTGACAAACCTACCAAACCAACCTGAGACAGCAACCTACCCTGACTGTTTGACAAACCTACCAAACCAACCTGAGACAGCAACCTACCGTGACATACCCGTTACAGATGCATCTCACCTCGCGAGAAACCCCGTCACCTTGTGAGTTCACCCCCCCCCCCCCTAATCCAGTCAAATAAATGGGAGTATCCGTTTGGTGAGCCAGGGATGGCCCGACCCCCAGGAATTTGATGAATGGTATCTGTCCTACCCAGGGGGAGAGCTCGTCTCGAATGTTCGGCAAGTTTCTATTTTCGACATCCGTTTTGGGGGGATTAAATTGGATCAAACTTTGAAGACATTTTTAATGTCCAACATTTGACGTGCTCACATGGATCTGATCAATGCACGGGGAACTGAAGTAAATCAATTGGATGGGTGCATCGTTGGGCTGTTCGGGTGTTTTTTGTGTGCAGAGTACAGGGGTGTGTTGAGAGAAGGGGTGGGGTGGGTATGGGAGAACAACTTTGTATATGCTACCATGTTTGTGGTAAGATAATGTCTCACCATCTCTGTATCAACTATCTTGTCTCACCAATCTTGTCTCACCACTTTTGGCTCACCACACGTCTCACCACTTGTCTCACCACTTGTCTCACCACTTGTCTCACCTCTCTAGTCTCACCTCTCTTGTCTCACCACTCTTGTCTCACCACCCTCCATCTAGCACACGACTAACCCCCCCCCCCCCCCCCCCCCATTTCAGCCCCGCCCGGGTTCATCATCCAGCTCGACTTCCGGGAGAAGTTCCAGGTGGAGAAGTCAGACAAATGTAAGTACGACCACCTCGAGGTCAGGGACGGACCGTTCGCCTACTCGCCGCTCATCAACCGCTACTGCGACGCCAGCTTCCCGCCCATGATTACGTCATCAGGCAGGCACCTGTGGCTCAGGTTTAAGACCGACGGCATCCTCCAGTATGGCGGCTTCAAGGCTGTCTACACCTACCACAAAGAGAATGGTTAGTTCCTGCAGTTCTCTGTCCTGTCCCTCTCAATAGGTTTAACTGCTGTCCTGTTTATGTCAATAGGTTTAACTGCTGTCCTGTTTATATCAATAGGTTTAACTGCTATCATGTTTATGTCACTAGGTTTAACTGCTGTCCTGTTTATGTCACTAGGTTTAACTGCTGTCCTGTTTATGTCAATAGGTTTAACTGCTGTCCTGTTTATGTAAATAGGTTAAACTGCTGTCCTGTTTATGTCAATAGGTTTAACTGCTGTCCTGTTCATGTCAATAGGTTTAACTGCTGTCCTAAGAGGTTTAACTGCTGTCCTGTTCATGTCAATAGGTTTAACTGCTGTCCTGTTCATGTCAATAGGTTAAACTGCTGTCCTAAGAGGTTAAACTGCTGTCCTGTTTATGTCAATAGGTTTAACTGCTGTCCTGTTTGTGTCAATAGGTTAAACTGCTGACCTAACAGCACTCCCCCCCCCCCACTAACTAAACGTATCAATTATTTCTTGCAGCTCAGAACGATGGGACTGCCATGACCAAAGGTAAGACCGTCAGTCCATGGATTTTATCTTCCCTAAGTTTAGCGGGGTTTGATCAAAAGTTTTTATAAGAGACGGGGTAGCATTCTTTGACCGTCCATAATTATCCACCTGACCGTCCTTATATCTACACCTGACCGTCCATATTTCTCCACCTGACCGTCCATATTTATCCACCTGACCGTCCATATTTCTCCACCTGACCGTCCATATTTCTCCACCTGACCGTCCATATTTCTCCACCTGACCGTCCATATTTATCCCCCTGACCGTCCATATTTCTCCACCTGACCGTCCATATTTCTCCCCCTGACCGTCCATATTTCTCCACCTGACCGTCCATATTTCTGTCCATATTTCTCCCACTGACCGTCCATATTTCTCCACCTGACCGTCCATATTTCTCCCCCTGACCGTCCATATTTCTCCACCTGACCGTCCATATTTCTCCCCCTGACCGTCCATATTTCTCCACCTGACCGTCCATATTTCTCCCCCTGACCGTCCATATTTCTCCTTCTGACCGTCCATATTTCTCCACCTGACCGTCCATATTTCTCCACCTGACCGTCCATATTTCTCCCCCTGACCGTCCATATTTCTCCACCTGACCGTCCATATTTCTCCCCCTGACCGTCCATATTTCTCCCCCTGACCGTCCATATTTCTCCACCTGACCGTCCATATTTCTCCCCCTGACCGTCCATATTTCTCCTTCTGACCGTCCATATTTCTCCACCTGACCGTCCATATTTCTCCACCTGACCGTCCATATTTCTCCACCTGACCGTCCATATTTCTCCCCCTGACCGTCCATATTTCTCCTTCTGACCGTCCATATTTCTCCGCCTGACCGTCCATATTTCTCCACCTGACCGTCCATATTTCTCCACCTGACCGTCCATATTTCTCCCCCTAACCGTCCAGGCCTCCACACACCGTGCCGTAAAGTCGCCATGTTGACCGTCAACGAAGCTGATGGCGTCATATCGTCCAGTGACATCACGCTGGATGACGTCAGCCACTCAAGCTCCGCTAAAGAAGTGGCCATGGACTGCACGTGGGAGATCTACACCAACAAGGGTTACCTGGTGAGTTGTGACGTCATGCACGCCTAGAAGGTCAGTTGTGACGTCATGCACGGCTAGCTGGTGAGTTGTGACGTCATGCACGGCTAGCTGGTGAGTTGTGACGTCATGCACGGCTAGCTGGTCAGTTGTGACGTCATGCACGGCTAGCTGGTGAGTTGTGACGTCATGCACGGCTACCTGGTGAGTTGTGACGTCATACACGGCTAGCTGGTCAGTTGTGACGTCATGCACGGCTAGCTGGTCAGTTGTGACGTCATGCACGGCTATCTGGTCAGTTGTGACGTCATGCACGGCTAGCTGGTGAGTTGTGACGTCATACACGGCTAGCTTGTGAGTTGTGACGTCATACACGGCTAGCTGGTGAGTTGTGACGTCATACACGGCTAGCTGGTCAGTTGTGACATCATACACGGCTAGCTGCTCAGTTGTGACGTCATACACAGCTAGCTGGTGAGTTGTGACGTCATACACGGCTAGCTGGTGAGTTGTGACGTCATACACAGCTAGCTGCTCAGTTGTGACGTCATACACAGCTAGCTGGTCAGTTGTGACGTCATGCATGGCATTCAGGCGCACTGTACTTCCGAAACCTTAGAGTAACCCCACTCCCCTACCCCTACCCCCCCCCAACCTCATCATCATTTAACGCAAAAGTGTAAGGACATTGTCCTGATGCTACAAGTGTAAGGACATTGTCCTGATGCTACAAAGGACATTGTCCTGATGCTACAAGTGTAAGGACATTGTCCTGATGCTACAAGCGTAAGGACATTGTCCTGATGCTACAAGTGTAAGGACATTGTCCTGATGCTACAAGCGTAAGGACATTGTCCTGATGCTACAAGTGTAAGGACATTGTCCTGATGCTACAAGCGTAAGGACATTGTCCTGATGCTACAAGCGTAAGGACATTGTCCTGATGCTACAAGTGTAAGGACATTGTCCTGATGCTACACGTGTAACAAAGACGTAACAAAGAGGTAACAAAGAGGTACCCCACTTCCCGCCATCTTGCTCCACTTGATATTTGATCCAACAAACATTTGTGTTGAGGACGGCGACTTATGAGCTTGGTTTACACTTTGGACCCGGCCCGGCCCCACCGCCCCACCGCCCCGGGCTGGCCCTATCTTAATATTTATGTAAGCCTGACTGCCGGCTGGAAGAAAGGGGCCAGCAGATGGCGAGGTTAATGCCTCGTGACACCAGTCTGGCACTGGTTGGATAGACCCAGGGAGGGGGTGTCAGGGTGGGGGTGTCATGGTGGGGGTGTCAGGTGGGGGTGTCAGGGAGGGGGTGTTAGTGTTGTGGTCTCAGGGTGGGGGTGTCAGGGTGGGGGTGTCAGGGTGGGGGTGTCAGGGTGGGGGTGTCAGGGTGGGGGTGTTAGTGTGGGGGTGTCAGGGTGGGGGTGTCAGGGTGGGGATGTTAGTGTGGGGGTGTCAGGGTGGGGGTGTCAGGGTGGGGGTGTTAGTGTGGGGGTGTCAGGGTGGGGGTGTTAGTGTGGGGGTGTCAGGGTGGGGGTGTCAGGGTGGGGGTGTTAGTGTGGGGGTGTCAGGGTGGGGGTGTCAGGGTGGGGGTGTCAGGATGGGGGTGTTAGTGTGGGGGTGTCAGGATGGGGGTGTCAGGGTGGGGGTGTTAGGGTGGGGTGTTATGGTGGGGGAGTCAGGGTGGGGGTGTCAGGGTGAGGTGTCAGGGTGGGGGTGTTAGTGTGGGGGTGTCAGTGTGGGGTCGATAGATGAGGGGAGGGGGTGTCAGGGTGGGGGTGTTAGTGTGGGGGTGTCAGTGTGGGGTCGATAGATGAGGGGAGGGGGTGTCAGGGTGGGGGTGTTAGTGTGGGGGTGTCAGTGTGGGGGCGATAGATGAGGGGAGGGGGTGTCAGGGTGGGGGTGTTAGTGTGGGGGTGTCAGTGTGGGGGCGATAGATGAGGGGGGGGGGGCGGCTCTGTATGATCTGTGTGCACGTTCCATCAAGTCCTGCTGACTCAACTACAAGCCCCTGAAGACGAGAAACGGGTGCTGTAAGTTCCAGACTTCAGTGAGTAGAACAGTGAGGACACGGGTCAAGACTGACCCCAACCTTACATACAACATTAGACTGACATTACTTAAATGTTTAACTTAATCATGCGTAGATTTCGCTTACGTACGTTAAAATATCCACTGCACCTAACGCTAATCCTAATCACATTCTCATAACGCTAATCCTCATGTCCTTAAGTAACGATAAACCTAATCTCCTTAACGTAACGCTAATCCAAATCTCCACCAGATCAACTTGCGGTCCCTGGAGTTCCAGCTAGGCAAGCAGAACACGTGTGAGCAGAACAAGGTGACGGTGTACGACAGGACGACAGTGCACGAGCGAGACCAGTTCTGTCACGGTGGTACTCACCAGATCGACCTCACCTCCACCAGCAACAGGATCTTCGTACACATCTTCGGGGTCAAGTTCAAGGCCAGACCCAATATCCGCATCGTCTACTCCCTCGTTCGTAAAGGTGGGCTGGTGGGCTGGTGGGCTGGTCAGTGTATGGTGGGCTGGTCAGTGTATGGTGGGCTGGTCAGTGTATGGTGGGCTGGTGGGCTGGTAGAGTGGATGTGGACACAGTTCACTTGAGATTGACCTCTGACCTCCAGGTGATTGCACCACTTTGGAGATGAAGTGTGGCGACCTGTGCTTGCCCGCAGTCCTCAGGTGCAATGACGTCATCAACTGCAAGGACAAGAGCGACGAGAGGGGCTGCAAGAGGCGGGTCAACGACCCCTATAGCGGGAAGGACGGGAACCACGTGACCCACGAGACAGATGACAGGGACAGCTCCAGCGGTAGGTCAACTACGTTTATTTATAGTAACAATCGATCAATGGAACACACAGACCAGATGAAACTTTACATCCCCCACACATCCCCCACACATCCCCCACACATCCCCCACACATCCCCCACACATCCCCCACACATCCCCCACACATCTCCCACACATCCCCCGCACATCCCACCACAGACTAGATAAAATGTTACATCCCCACACACATCCCCCATCCCCCACACATCCCCACACAACCCCCACAGACCAGATAAAACTTTACATCCCCCACAGACAACACAGAGAGTTCTGGGTTCTCCAGCCTTCACGCCATCATCCTGGGCGCCGTGGGCGGCTTCCTGCTGACCTGCGTCATCGTCACGACGTGCGTCATGTGCCACATCCGGAAGCGGGACCGTGAGAAGCGTCAAGAGCTCCACCGACAGAAGAGTCCACAGAGGAACGCTCTAGAGATGGCGGTCTGCAACAGTTCCAGCACCAGCATGTCGCTCTCCAAGAAAAACGAAAATTCTGGAAACCGATCAGGTACTGGTCTTGTCTGGTGGGGGGGGGGGGGGGTGTGTGGACTCGTACTTGTCTTGTCTGGTGGCCCAATAAGGTTTGATGTTTGGGGCGGTGAGGAAGGGGGTGGCAGCCATATATAAATGGTGTTTTGCTATTAAGATGGTGTTTCATGTTTTAGATGGTGTTTCATGCTTTAGATGGTGTTTCATTCTTTAGATGGTATTTCATGCTTTAGATGGTGTTTAATGCTTTAGATGGTGTTTAATGCTTTAGATGGTGTTTGTTCTTGTTCCAGGCCCAGGGGGTGACAGACACCATTACGTCACGTTCTCCAAGATGAACTCGCCCCCCTCCAACAACATGATGGACGGGGGTCACCGCTACAGTGTGCCAGACCACACCGGACCCGAGGGGGACAGGATCCCAGGGGACAGGATCCCAGACCAGATGACCGAGTCGGGCAACTACAAGAGGTACCTCACCATGGAGATCACACCAGACGACATGATGGACGAGTCCATCCAGCACGGTATCTACCCCCCCTCCCCGGGCGTCATGGGCATGACCAACCTCGACCATCGCATGCCGGATATTTACGGAAATTACCATAGCAACCAGTGGCACTGTAAGGAGGACCCCAGCATGTACCCGTACGGGTCGTCCAGCCTGACCCGCCCCACGCCCTTCCTGGGTCTCTCTAAGCCGTTCACCTGCAGCCAGCCCGACCCCCGGTACGAGACCAAGTACATCAAGACCATCAAGACGCTGGACAACGACACCATCAAGGAACACCAGCTGGCATAGACGTCTGCCGTTTCCTAGGCAACCGTTGCTAGCTGAGGCTGATGCATCCAGCCAGGTTATCCACACACAACCACAACCACAAACGTCAACACATTAAACAACACACCGAAACAGCTGCAGTTGGACGATGGTACCAATAACTCATTTTGTTCATTTTACGTCGAGATCTTCTCTGGATTATTTCTGCTGGTCCTAGAGAAATTTGGAGGAAAATTTCCTGCCGTGTGGGCCATAAAGTTTGTAGAATATAATAATCTTCTGGTAAATCACGACACTGCTGTATTTTCTATAGTTTTCCCTTAAAATTGCGTGATTTTCTTAGTCTGCAGCAAGGAGCGGTAACAGTCAAAGGGAAATAATCGGCTTTTATTTAGAACTGACGAATTGTATCCCCTGAACTGGATATTCCTTAAGGAAGGTTTCCTAAACACAGCAGGCAAATTTCGACATTTGCTGGAAGGGATTTAAAAATAGCACAAGGTAAATTTAAACATGCCATCACGTGATATCACCACGTGATGTAGCCTAACGCTGAAGTAACTCAGATGGATACATTGAGTCACGTCAGTGCCGGTTCTTAAAATCTGACCTACAAACGATGCAGCTCAAAACAAAAGGTTTGTTGAACTTTGACCTTATTTGTAGCTGCAGAGCTGTCGTGTCACGTGACATAGATGACGGTATCAATACAACAGCCCAGCTGTTTTAGCCCACACTATGTTCTATGGGATGTACGTCTTTTGTACACATGGACCACGGGATGTACGAGTCTTAGATGTACACGTACATGTGTGTACATCAATTGTCACGTCTTCTGTACACATCGACCATCACGTGACGTGGACAGTCTAATTACCAACATGACTGACGGCCAACATGACTGTCATGTCAGATACCGAAAAACTCGGATTTGAAATGAGTTTGTGTGACGGAAGATTTCACCAACATTTTACAACTGATCCAAGCTAACATTCGGTTTAAAAAGTTTGTGGTGATGATGTTGATCTATGGAGTTATGGCGATGATGTTGACCTGATGTTGACCTATGGAGTTGTGGTGATGATGTTGACCTAAAAAAACAAATGGTAGCTGCAGTGAGGTTAATGTAATTAGTAATAAAACAGATAGTATTAGTTACTAATACTATCTGTTTTATTACTGATGTTGACCTATGGAGTTATGGTGATGATGTTGACCTATGGAGTTATGGTAACCATTGTATCATGTGACTATTTTGCTAGCAGGATGACTCCATCATATGATATGTGACTTTGGGATGACTCCATCATATGATATGTGACTTTGGGATGACTCCATCATATGATATGTGACTTTGGGATGACTCCATCATATGATATGTGACTTTGGGATGACTCCATCATATGATATGTGACTTTGGGGTGACTCCATCATATGATATGTGACTTTGGGATGACTCCATCATATGATATGTGACTTTGGGATGACTCCATCATATGATATGT